GGAAATCTGCTATAACTTCTGGGTGTCAAGGTAATAAGAATCTTTCAAAAATTTCCACAGTTCACACAGCCACTTTCTCTTTAACGGATTACTGATGAAGCCCAAGACATGATGGCTGAGTCACTCTTCTTGATACCCTCCCACAGTGGTTGGTACAGCCTCTTTCTTCTTTTACACTGAGGATGTGGTTGCTCAATGGTCTGTATCATTGCACGGATCGACGGTGAAGACAAGGATAACTCTTCTTATCTCTTTGTTGGGTCAGCAGAACCATTCTTTAACTCTTAATTCTTAGCATAACTGTCCCTGAGACTACTTATCTACTTTATTTATGCAAAATTATCCTGAGTAAATGTAATAGACATTGCGCAAACTCATTTTCAACCTCTTTTCCCTGTAAGTTTTTTTTTTTTTCTGTATAGGTGTCCACTAGAGCCACTTACTCACTTTTTCTGCATCTACAGTTGGCCATTTTACTATTTACCCTTTGTTAATAACATTCAGCAAAGGAACAGCGACCTGTTTTGTATCTACAATAGCTAGGTCACCATCGAGCCATTCCTCAGCCTTTATTCTCCCTGAGCCTTTATCTAGAAAGTCATCAAAGCCAGCAGCTGCAGCAGCTTAAAGGCAAGATAAGTCTTTCACTGCAAAGCAATTCTTACAAAGGATTTGTTGGACTAGTGCCATCTTTAAAACAGAATGGCCCATACCACTTTTGTTTTGCGATGAAAGCAGAAATCATGTCAAGCGACCCACGTTTTTAAAAAGCTGAGAATATCTGATGGAAACTTGCTCCAAATCTGGCACGAAGTGCCCAAGAATGGATGAACAAGAGCTAAATTTCATGTTTGCAGCTGTCCAACTTTTTAACTATACAGACTGCTTGTTCACATACAGTTGTTGTAGCAAGATTTGTTTAGGTCTTGACCCGAGCCCTCCCGCAGTTTCAAACTATGTTGAAATACAGATGATCTTTTTCTTTTGCTTCTAGCTCAAATTGCAGTGGTTTAGGTAGGCACACATCCCCCAGTACTATCTCTGAGACCAGTTAAATGGTTATGATTAGCGGGTGTCCTGTGCCTTTTAGCCTATCTGAAATGACTGTCAAGTTTAATCTACATGACTGTCATGTTGAATATACAGCTTCTCTTCCTTTTCCATTGGACATATCCCACCAGACTACAGACTAAAGACAAACTCAACATTTTTTTTCAATCTGGACAGCAAACTTGAGCAGGTGAATCCTGCAGCTTCAAGCTCTTCCCTGGTGGTTACCAGGTTTGGCAGTGGATTTCATTTGGCAGTGGAATTCATGTTCATGATTTGCACTCTGGCCTGATATGTTTGTAACAGCCTTTTTCTGCAACATTGTATTTTCTGTGCTGGTATTTAGCAAATTTGCTTTCTTTGCTTTTGTATTTTTATATATGCAATAATGCACATAGGTATTATTACATATGCAGTATAATTAATTTTTCATAATTGTATATGACATCTCCTTTTTTAACCATCACACACACCATATATGAATTCCCCATGTCGTTCAAGCATGTGAGGCACAGAGCTGTACTTAGAGACACAAAGCTGTCAACTTCCAACCATCTTGGTAGCAGCTGCCTCGTCATCTGATGGGCAACTGTAAGGAATGACTCATGTTCCCTGGCAAGTTTCTCGCTCTTTGGACTGCTCTTTGCCTCCTTTTCCTAATCCAGAGCTGCAAGTCCAAGTCTGCAACGTGCTCTGTCACCAGTTTATCCTAAAAATCTCCTGTGGGTATGGATTTGACAGGAAGACAAAGTTTCATCAATCCAGACACGGTTTCAATTTTCTTTTTGTTTCTAGTCCTTAGCCATAGCTTTTCCAGCTCAGATTTATGACTAGTATCAATCCATGTGAGATATCTGGATAACTATTCTTCTCTGTCACCGCTAACCCCCTACACCGTCTCCATTCTTCAAATGGGGAGCTAAAGCATGCAAAAGGGCTGTAATTGGCCCTTGAGTAGCAGAGGTGGAAAAAGAATCAGTAGCTCCTGATTCTTAGTCCAGTTCTCTAACTGTTAGGACATACTGGGAAGTCGGTGTTGGCAAGCCCTGTAATAAAAAAAAAAAAAAAGAACAGTAAGGTCTTTAACATAATTTCAAACACTGAACAAAGTGATTGACAAATTATTATATAGTTAAATAATGGTTACATTTTGAATAACAGTTAAATTTTGATTATACCATCAGGTTAATAACCTATTGCTTACTTTGATAGTTTGTAAATTATAGCTAGTGAATCCAGGTATGGGAATAGAAAAATGTGTGAAAATAGAATGCAATGAAGCACTGCTAAAACAATGTATTTCTTTGGCACTTCCAAACCTCCAAAATCAAACTATGTTTCATTAATAGCTCTGGCCAGTAGTGATGCGATACGAGTTTAACCCTGAATCTATTACCAGGCTGCAAATTGTCAGCCGTTTAGCTTTAATCAGCAGCACTGTAGAAATTCAGAAGAATGTTGCCTTCACATGAAAATGTAGAATTCATTTATTGAAATCAAACCAAATGATCATATCAGAGCAGGTTAGTATAATAACGTTAAATATCCAGGTATACCATGGGTAGAATGACTCTTACATTTGCACTGTTTGATCCACCAAGGATAATGTGTTTCAGACTGGGGTGTTGCTTCAGCATTGCATGAGACGGCTGAAGGTAATTTTCCCTCTGGAAATAAATCAACAGAAATCATCTCTGTAGAGAATGAGAAATTCAAGACTAGTCAGTGGTGTCTTTTGAACTCAGCATGGGCTTCTCTGATCTCCTTTTCTCAGTCCTCCTGACATGCTGCCTTTGTGCCAGTTGAAATGGTCTTGCAAGAATCAAGATGGTCTGCTGCAAAACCTTGATGTTTTTCTGCTTTGTGCTGTTATTGAGAGACTTCTTATTTTTCCATTAATGTTGGAAGCACAGTAGGTGCTTTCTGTTTCGACATTTGATGGAACAAACAAATATTAAACAAATTCAGGGAGAAGGTACTTGAGTGTCTTAGATCAATGCAATGATTCCCCAGATCTCCACAGGGCCAAAATTTGTCTCATCTCACTATTTAGCATGTAAGGGCACATCAGTTTCCAAGCACCATAGCCTTTTCTCTTGAAGTCTACAAATAGCTCTAAAGGGCCAGTAGCTCAGACCGCAATGGTATTCTAGATTTTGTTTGGTTCAAACAGATTCTAGATTTTGTCTGATTCTCTGGTGGTTTCCTGGATCTCCCTTGAAGCCCTTACCAAAGTGGGAGGGTGGGGAGGGAAGCCATCACATTTGCTGCTTTCCATTCCTTGGTACCAAGAGAGTTTCAGCAAGAAGTTACGTACTCCATTCATTTGTTCAGAAACTACATATTTCAAATTTCTTAGAGCCCTTGGGTGAAAATCCTCTGTTCTGGTGGTTTGCCAACGTTCATCTGAAAGATCTGTTCTAAAGCTCCTCTACTGACAGTGTGACTTGAGATAACAGACAAATTTCTCATAAAGAAAGGAATGTCCCTAAGCTCCTATGTCATGAATGCTGGTATAGATAATTCATTGACTTCTCAGGTAGGAACTCATATTTCTTGTGCTCTCATCTAATGTCTCAGTTATCTATCGGCCTGTAGGCTCACTAGTAGGCTTCCTATTTCTGGTGCACTTGAAAAAAATTACTATTATTAGGCTTAATACTTTAGCAATTTGTTCCTCTAAAATATTTTTTTCTTTTAGTCTGCCTTCTAGTTCTTCATTTTACTTGCCAGTGTTTGTGGTCTTTCAAAAAAAACCTGTGTGGACAGAGTCTTCACTATTTTTATTTTAAATAGTCTCTTTTATTCCTCCATTTAACTATGATGGAACTTTCATGTCCTTTCAAATTTTCTTCTGAGTCTTTAGTATGGCACCTTCATAGTCTTTATGCCACCTGCAAGTATTTTACCCTTTCAGCTGTCCCTTTAAATTTCCTTTTTGCATGCTTTTTCATTATTAAGTAGCTTATATGTACTTAATGTTCACCAGAAAAGTTTTTCTGGAGTGTATCATATATACCAGTTATTATCACTGATACAAAGTGCTTCTTCCATAGTTTCATCTGAAAGCAACTCCTTGGTGCCTTTTTGGGGAATGCCTCAACAGCTGTTTCTCATTTTGTGAAAGCAGGCAGTCAGAGAAAAATTGTTCCAAATAACAGCTGTTAATGTTTTCTAAAAATTTGGCCTCTACCTCATAACTTTCCCATCAGTCTACCCACTCTGCATGAAAATACTTAAGTTGTATCTTTGCATTTGGAGGAAAACAACAAGTATCACAACAAACATCATAATATCACCAAAGCTGATACCAGGGTTGAACAGAATTTTGAGATAAAATCAAGAGAATTTTGATGATAAAATGATTGGTGAGTATTGCGTGTGCTGCTATGGTTGTTGTTATTTTATAGAAAACAGTGTCTAAAGAAGATGGCTTCACAAAGTCCCTAAACAGTGTAGGATTTTTTTTCTTCTTACCTGAAACCACTTAGGAAGCTTTGACAATATCTAAAAGCAATAACAAGAGGAACATTCTACTCATCCTTTCACCTCATTTTTTTCTCATGCTGATGAAGGTTACTAATACTTTTGTACAATAGCAGAGGGGAACAACTGTTTGTCTCCTGTTGTGTGCCTGATCAGCCTAGAGCAAGAAGTTTTCTTGAGTTACCAACCGAACAGAGATGTAAGAGCAAGAAAAAGTACTCTACTCTGCTGGCTATTTATAATAAGCGTTAGTTGCAGCAGGATTTAACCAAAACCCAACTGCACCTATTTAGGAGAAGGAATTCATCAGTTTTGAGAAGCAGAAATGAAGGGCAGCTATAAAGCTAGGGAAGTGAACAGCATCAGATGTGGCAACCCATAGGACAATGGCAACAGCTATTATTCTCATACAGTTATTTGCTCATTATGACTAGAACTCTGTTAATGTTTTTAACCTTTGATAGATTAAGAAGACAGCAGGATCAAAGTGGACAGACTTCTAGCACGGACAGTAGAGCATCCTTTCAGAGCCACGGAAAACTTCAAGATGGACGTAACAATAATTTACTGGGACATGGCTGCACAAGAGGCTGCAGCAGCTAGTGAGATAAGGCCCCATCACACACGCTCACCTGGGAAGGTGATGAAAGTTCCTCCCCATGCATGCCTTGATCTTTGTCTCCTTGGGCCCCAGGAAGTCTAACTCCTTCAAAAAGCAGGCTCCCTAGCCGACTGCAAACCTACAGAGCAGATTGGTTGAACTTTTCCACACACAACCCTGCTTTTCTTTTGACTGTGCCACTGGAAACATGACCATCAGCAACAAAATACAGTTTTATAAGTAAGTTTGACTTTCCTCTTCAAAATCCTGGAACAAAACTTGAAACAATTCATTAGGCAGCCTCTCAAATATTGCCAAGATTCTGGCTACTTGCAAGAGACAAAGCTATATTGGGGCCAGCTTTATCCTGAAGGTTTTATGTTATCCTCTCTGTCTCTGTTAATTGAAATGGTCCAATCTGGATTTTTTGTGAAACTGGTAAACACATCAGTTTCTGAGCACCTGCTGTTGAGTTTATAATGGATGTATATGATGTAAATACATGAATGTAGTGTCAAATAGGCCAAACATCGTATAATTTCATTTAACCACCTGAAGCCCATTGAAAAAATTGCAGCATGAATGTATTCACATTGTTCTTCATGCATTTTGCTTTGTAGTAAAAGATGTGACTCTGGCCAAGGCAAAGTTTTGCTAGTGATTTTAGTGGATGCAGGATCAGACACATTAGTAGTGTATTATAATTATGACAAAGAAAGACCTTTTTATTAGTAACGGTAGGCTGATCGAGCCGGAGTTGAAAAGCAGCTTAGTAAGGAAAGCTAAAAACATTAGAAATTTGCTCTAAGACATAGTTAGATGTTATAAAATGTAAAGAAGTTACATATGTCTCTGTTTTCATGGATCTATTCTGGATAAGAACTGTCTTGAATAGAAAGCAACATGTTTTATCCAAAACATTACTGACATGAAAGCCTTTTTTGGTTTTATTTTTGTTTTATAGCATCCCTAATTCCACACATTTATGGTATTTTACAACTTGTATGTCCACATTTTGATAATAAATGCATGCTTTTTCTGTCCTATTGTGCTTTTATTTTTTAAAGATTATCATCCGTAAGCAAATTTCATTTTCAACTTTTTAAAACAAACATATTAGGCTTTTGGAAGTGATAAGTATTTTATTTATAATGTCTATTTTTACTGTATTATTTGTGTTTTATCTTTTACAAAACAAAGTTCTTTGTAATTGAATCTATTTTTTAAATTTGGTTTCACATTATATGTAATTTTTGTCACAAAATTTTCATAAAATACAGTTTTTTACAGTTCCATGAAATGATATGGTGTTCCTGTGAACAACAGAACAGTTTACAACTGTAGCAAGGTAGAGATTTTACATCTGTCATGAATATAGTGTGGGTTTACTTGCTTAATTTGGGCATAGACTGAAATAATTATGGGATCAAGGAAAGGAGCAGAGTTTCTCTGGTCCTGAGAGGACAGGTTTCATTGTCCAGAATAAACTGTTTCATGCTCACCTCTTCTTATAATGACCTTTTTCTTGGTTAATTTTGGTTTCATTTGGGAAGGACCAAAGTGGATAACATTCCACACGATTTCTGGAAATTCAGAATCACAGAACAGGTGGGGTTTCAAGGGACTTCTGGATATCATCTAGTTCAACCCCCTTGGCTCAAGCAGGCTCCGCTAGAAGAGGCTGCCCAGGACCACGTCCTGTCGGGTTTTGAATATCTCCAAGGATGGAGACTCAATAACCTCCCTGGGCAACCTCTTCCAATGTTCTGCCACCCTCACCTAGCAAAAAAAGGAAGACAATTGTAAAGATTAATTTTTGTCTGTAATCACAATTGTTCTGAGTGACAAGAGTTATTGTGAGCAATCTTGTATAAAGTCAATAGTACAAGATGCATTGGTACTAGCATATTCATTAAGACTGAGAGTGCATTTTCGAAGTGAATCTCCCAGTCTTCCCATTGTAGTCCATTTTGGTTCACATTGTAGCACACAAATCAGATTCTTTTTGGATGACACAAAACCATAAGATCTGCTCCAGGACCACACTTAATGCCATCTTTCCATCCTTAGGCCATTAGACCATGGAAACACGTTAGAGCAAGTCTGTAGTGAACGCTCCTACAAAGCATCTAGCGTGGATGTCAGGTCTGCATCACCGACTGCTTCACTGTACAGAACCCCTCCTATTAGGCTGGACCACTCACTAATATACATACAGCTATAAAGAAGGCTGTGTTTATAGAATAAAATCTAAAGGAAGAATTCATGTTATCCAAAGTCTTTAGATGATCAAAATATCATCAGTGATAGTATTGCAGACAGAGGCTTTTTTTTTTTTTCCTGCAGATAGAATTTACTTAGCAGCAGGAACCTACTGAACATTTGCTCTCTAATCTGGCTGGCTGCAGGGTATCTCTGCCAATGCTCTGCTAAGCTGATTTTGAGAGGAGCCTGGTTATTTTATAGTTGGTATCTCCTTAAATATGCTTGCGCACTGTATTGTGCACAAAGGCAAGCTCACTCTAATTTCATGCTCATTGCTACATGGTCATTTCTCAAACAACCCTCCACTGTTTGCACAAAAAATCATGGCACTAGTGCTCAGATTTATCCAGAGTCCATGGCACTCATTGACTGTAAGCTGAACCTTATACTGCCTGTAATTAACTTTGTCTACACATTACACAGCTCAGATAATACCCTCATTTACATGGTGAAAACCCAGATAAATTCTTAATTCCTCTTTGCTTTAGCAAACATAGATGTATGAACTGGCCTGTCACAGGAGACCATGAAGAAGGAAAAGAGCACAGCTCCTTTTGTAGTAATTTCTGCTTTCCGAGGATTACAGGAATAATACAAGAAAAGGAGTCACACCCTGGAAATAAGCCTGAGAAGTCTTTGGATAGGATTTGTCTTAGATTTGTCTTAGCCTTAGGTGTGTACAAAATGTACACTTCTGCAGCTGAGTTAGTCAGATCTAGAGTCAAAAATAAAGAGAAAAAAAAAATGCTTTCAGGATGTGCTGCATTTGCTCTATCTTGACTGTCTCTTTCAGCAGCTGGATCTCACTGCAGCCCTGCCTCCGTGGAGCAGGAAGCAGATGTCCACAGGCAGCGCAGATGCAGGCGTGCATGTTGAACACTGACATTCAGTCAGATCAATCCTGTTTGTAATAGCACAGACATTTGGTGGAAATGTAGTCTAACATGAAAAAATAGGAACATTTCTAATCATTTTAGCACAAGAAAGACTGAGTCGTTTAAACAGTTGCTTTCTTTACATGAGAAAGGCTGGAGAAATTATGCAACAACACACCCTTGCAATGAACACTGCCTTGCTTTTCCAGCACAAAGGGGCAGAAAAGAAAACAAGCAAGGCAACCCAAATAAGACATGGAAGGTTTTTGCAAAATACTCAGTGAGATGGAGGTGAAAAACAAAGTGAGGCAGTCATAAAACCAAAAGAAGCTCCTTGGGACTCATTTCTTCTATACAGCTTTATTGCCTTACAAAAGCAGCTAGTGATTTCAACTCCCAAAGTCTCATCTGGTTTCTTCAAGTCATTTCAAGGGTAAAATATTTATTTTGTCTCATTTCTGTTCCAAAGGGAGAAAAGAGAAGGAAGTCTATCTAGCTGGTTGTTCACACAGCTGGAAGAGCAGTTTGCTGCTACAATATTTCATTGCAATGCCACTTGCTTTGCAGTGTTACATTTCTGATCACATATGCACATTCCCACAGTACCACTCCATGTCAAACTCTGCCAGATTTACCTTCTGTTCAGTTTACTTCTACATTGTGTATTAAATATTGGCACAGTAGTGTAAGTGTTTAATTACTAACTGTCATAAAATACAAATGGATCCTTTCATCTGTAGTCATGACAAAAATGATTGATGGAATATTTTCAGAATTTTTTCCATAGATTTTTTGGGGGTGGTGGTAACAGATCTTTACATGCTATTCAAGATTATATCAAATTACATAATAGAGGAAATAGTAGGCAGTAATCTATCCATCCCATTCATTTAGATATTTTCTGCTTGCAGAAATATATGATCATGATTTAAAATTAATCTTTTGACCGTTTAAATCTAAACACTGGTATATTGGGATGTATTAAGGAACTCTGATTGGCTAACAAAGACTCACAGCATTTTTCTGCTTTCCGGTTGGGTGGCTATACCAACACAACACTTCTGCTGTGAAAAACATGTATGCCAACATAGTTAAAGCTTTGAGGTTTTGGACAGGTATATTTACAGTTTTTGTGCCATAAAGACATAATTTTGTGCTGAATGTTGGAAAGCAAACACATACTCTAAGTGCATTCATTTAAAAAACACAGTTGTACTCATGAACCTCCTCTGCTAGAATCTTCCTCAAGAGCAGATCTGGAACAAACCATCATTATGCAAGTAGTCACCATTATGTCTGTATCTGACCCAGATTTAATCTGTGGCTAAATAGACTCATCTGTGAAGGCTCTCAATGACAAGGGAGTGAAATCAAGACTCCACCTACCTCCAGGGCTGGTCTGCACAGACTCTGCCTTCTTCTATGGCAAAACTACCGACAACTTGTGCAGGCTGCTGGAGCATAAGTCATTCGCCCTGCTGGGAAAACCTAAGAATATTTTCTCCTGTACAGTAGTTGCAGTTAGGTCCTTTAACACATGCAGACGTTGTGGTTAATTTTGAATTAGGAATAGCGCAAAGGTTTTCTAGATCCTTCTGGTACCTTGCAAAAGCCTCCATACTAGATTGGTGTGATTTTTTTTTAAACAAGAGCTTTGTATTTCTTCTTCTGGAGAGCATACTATCAGCTACAAAACTAATTTCTTATGCATATTGTGCTTCATCATCTTAGCTTCCGTCAGAGTTGTTATTTCTGTTTATCTTTATTTTAATGATTGGATCAACTGCTCTCTGGCCAGCAGGGAAAAATGTTTTGATATTTTTAGCATTCATTTAGCAATGCAAATTCAGTTGCTATAATCACGTTTATGAGAAAACACACAGGACTTTAATAATGACTGATATCAGGTCTATTCCATACATCAGTGATCGTGGCTCGATATACAAATTCCATCTTTTTTATCATTTTTAATTTGGAAGGAGGAATGTATATAATCAATTAGAGTATTTTTTACAAAATAGCCAAACAGTCCTCCATGAGTCCTCCCAGAGTTTCAAAATCATAAGCTAAGGCAGCAAGCTTTGTTGTTCAATATTTGAGGTTCTTTTAAGTCGTAAATAGTAAAGTAAGGATATAAGAATCTCTGCAACATTCAATCCCCCTTTAGAGAAATAGGACTAAGAACAATTCTAAAATTCCCAGTCCTTCTATATCCTTGAATGGGATTATATGAAATCCGTGCCCTTTGAAAGAAATTACACTAATATATTTAGGCAAAGACATTTGCCTGAGCAAGAATTTGTTAGAACTAGAACTCTGGAGAAATGTTTTATGCTTCTTTCTTTTCCACTGTTTTGATATGTGTTATATTACATTCCTGAAATTTTATCACAGAGATTATTTTGCACTTGAAAATCTCTCTTGGAAGAGTGCTATGGAATTTGATTAATAGTTATAACTTTGCTATAGTGAGGTTACTATTCTTCTGTCAATGCACTAAGATATTAAGGTAATTTCCGTGTAGTTAATTAGTAATGAGAGAATGCTCTAATTCTTGAGCCCTATCAGGATAAATACCATATCCACACATTAATATAAGTCAGACACTACTGCAAGGAATTTATAGTTTGACCTAGCTTTATAAGATATAACTTGAAACTGGAGATAAACCGGGGAAAGCGTTGTTAAGGGAAGCGGGTAACAGCAAAATCAGGTTATTAAATGCAATGAGCAATAATATAATGTAGATTTATGGACTTTTTCTCTATTAAATTATATGCAACATTTCCTTAAACACCATAAATATCCCACTTAAATTTGAAATCTTGGTGAGCAGGGAAAGGGCTGAAGGAATGGAGAGGCAGCAACGCCAGCTTGCTGTTACAGTGGGAGCTGCTGTCATT